CTTCTCCCACCTACATAGCTACTGCTGATTATTAGGGGTGGATTAATTAAGTCGACAGGAGAACTCTTTCCTGTCAGCTTAGCATGGCTACACTAGAGAGCTTACAGCAGCACAGCTGCATCCAAGCAGCCTGAAAGCATTGGGAGAGCTGCAGGAGCAGTTGAAGGCAAAGGGTATGAAGGGATAAGGGCAGCAAATTACCCACAGTAAAAAACAAAAAACAAACAAACAATGTAGCAATGGATCCAAACTGTCTTCTCCAGTGATTTTCACTACATTTGATTAATTTATTCATACACTACTTAAGGAGACAGGCAACATAATTCAGGCACTCTTGAGACTTATTAGGCACTTTTCTTATTCAAATTGTGCTTAGAGTGATGTTTACAAGTGCAAATAAATTACTCAGCATACTGCAACTCAAGTATTCTGGTACTGGGATTCCTACTGTCATGGATATTTAGTTTCAAAATGTTATCACTGGCTTCCAGAATTGGGAAGCGTCAATTTCACTACATTAGGGAAAGAAGGGAGCAAAGAAAAGCAAGTGAAGAGAGTGCATTAAAGTAATCAGGATTCTTCATACAATAATATTCTGGCTAGTTTACCTATTTTATCTTGAATAGCTATTTTTATTTGGTCCCCAGAGCATCACCTGGTCCGAGTACTAATAATGGGTGGTTGATAGGAGTTGGGGAGGAAGTTTTCAAGGGAGCAAGTGTGATGCTGTGAGAGGACTGACTCTCCCCAGCAGTGGCATATTCCTCAGGAAGGGTTGCATTCTGTGTGGTCCAGCTAGGGTGACCAGATGTCCTGATTTTATAGGGACAGTCCCGATTTTTGGGTCTTTTACTTATATAGGCTCCTATTACCCCCCACCCCCTGTCCCGATTTTTCATACTTGCTGTCTGGTCACCCTAGGTCCAGCACAGGAGCAGTAGTGCCAAGTAACTGATGGACATGAAAGCCACACATTCCAGAGCTTTTCAGATTTGGAAACTTAGCAAAGGGATTTAATTTTGTCAAGCTGGAGCGGGCAATGAACCTAATTTAGGAGAGAAATTCTTTTAGAGGTGTTATCTAGAAAAAGCTCTGAAGCTCTAAACAAACAAAACAAGAGAACTAAAGTGAACCTATTTCTAATCAACATTTGACTAAAAACTACTTTGCAAAACTCAGAGCATGTCTCAGTGGACTCTCTCACCTAGTAATTTCTCTAGTTAGTCTTCATCTGCACTTGAATGTATAGTAAATTATATAGCGCCTCTCACCACCTACCATTTTAGAATGTAAGCTCTTCAGGACAGTGACCATTTCTTTGAATACAACTATACAGTACCTAGCACCACAAAATCCTGATCACGATGGTCACCTGTGGACACTACACTTAATATCAATATTAAACATTAACTAGCAAGGGTGTAACGTTGTATGGGGCAGGGACTTCTTGTTGTGTATTTGTATACTACCTAGTATGACAGTTACTAAGTCTCCAGCCTAAGGGTATGTCTACACTACCCATGTTATAGTGTGGCCGTGGCAGCACTATGACTTGGGCCATATAGACATCCTTTATCCCTGGGGGAGAGCTCTCCCGGCGATTAAAAAACCCACCCCTAACGAACGGTGGTAGCTTTATTGCCGGGAGCATTGTTCCCGGCAATAAAGTGCTGTCTATACTGGTGCTTTTCAGCGCTAAAACTTTTGTTGCTCAGGGTTTTTTCCTCCCACCCCTGAACGACAAAAAAGTGTTAGTGCTGAAAGTGGAAGTGTAAACAGCCTCAGTCCATGATGAGGCTTCTAGGGACTACAGAAATACAAATAGATTGTCATTGGCACAGGAAGGGACATGTGGCTTTTCGTTTGTCTAGACTAGGACCTAAACATGCAGAGCAGCTTGTTTTGAGATATTTTACCTATCATTTGAATTTAAAACACCACTTCTCAAGACTAATAATACACTGTGGTAAGAAAGGAATATTTGTCATTCACTCTACTGTCTGTGTGTTTGTTTATTTTTAAAAGAGATTTATTTTTCTCAGATCTCCATTGAATATCTGATTAGGCAAACTGGCATAGCAATGATAGCAGGTAGAAATTTGTTTGGCTAGCATTGGCCCAATTTACTAGTAGTGGCTTATATTACTCATGTTCTACAAGGGAGATGAAGGGTACTCAGTTTATTTGTTTTTTTAAAATGTTATTTTTTCTAGCTACCCCCATGCCCCAACCCTAGATTCAGTCTTGATGAAGCTAAATTGATATTAAACTCAAATTAAAGTGTGTGTCACAACATTATTACCATAGACTTGTACAGGGCCTGTATGAGAGCATCATGCACAGTTGAACCAGACATCAGAGCTTCCTTCACCCAGAATAATCTTCATGAGATTTTTGTTTTGTTAAATTATGGACTTTTTAAAATCATGCATTTTCTCAGCCTAAATAAAACTGAATGCCAGGACCTATTCACAACTCTTATCACTACAACTGTGAATCAAAATATCTGGGAAACAGCTTAAAACAAAAACAAACAAAAATAAACATCAATGGTAACTTCACTACAAAATAAATGCTCAATTTAGTAATGTTGAGACTGACAATGGGGAAATAAAAAACAAAATAAAGTTGTTGCCTTGTCCCTCTACAAGATGGAAAACTCAACATCCTGCAAGAAGTTCAAATGAACCCAAAGGAAATACTACTACAGATAAAAGCCTAGAGTGTTTTTCCGCAAGTGAGAAACTCGCAGTTTGCCACCAACCTATTAAAAAAATAACCAACTATTAAGTATGCGTATTGATAGAAATAGGAAGGTGTGGGGGGGGATAGAGGAGATATAATCCTCCAGATTCACCAAAACTGATGAAGTTTGCTTGGCCCTTGACTAGGAAATATGTAATAAGTAATCACAAGACATAGTGGCAGAGCAAGAGAAAGAACTGTGTTTACCATAATATACTGATGAAAAAGAAGAAGAGAAAGACTTCTTACCGGCATATCATTTTTGTTATCAGTACAACTTTCATCCTTTTCTACTTCAATCTGCTCATGGCTTCTTGATTTTATAAGGTTTTCAACTGGGGTTGCGTCTTTAAATTCAGCCTCTGAACCATTCATTGTATCAGTTTCATCCTTTAGAGTAACAGTATCAGACATCCTCATTAGAGGTGGTTACTTTAAAATTCTACAGGAAATAAGGAACCTTTAAGAGGAAAAAGAAAAAGTATGTATATTTACTTTATACAGCTGAAATTTTATACTAATTCAAAAAGATTCACACACACCCACACACACAGTATTTTCAATAGACTTTGCCACCAAAAGGACATTTTCCCCACCAATTTCCTTTTTCTCATGTCTTAGGTCATCATGAATGAGCATTCATCTTAGTTCTAGTGCCTTAATCCAGATGCTTATGCTACAGGTGCATCTTACAAGAGGAAAAAAAGGCATGAACTAAAAATTTATTCAAGAAGGTCATGGTAGACCAGACATGGGCAAACTACGGCACACATCCGGCCTGCGGGACCGTCCTGCCTGGCCCCTGAGCTCCTGGCTGGGGAGGCTAGCCCCCGGCCCCTCTCACGCTCCTGCCGTGCAGAGCTGCAGCATGCCTGGCTCTGGCCACCAGACATGCTGTTCTGAGCGGCATGGTAAGGGGGCCGGGGCCAGAGGGTTGGATAAGGGGCGGGGGGTCCCGGGGAGTAGTCAGGGGATGGGGGGCAGGGTTTGGATAAGCATGGGAATCCCAGGCGATAGGGGTCAGAGCAGTCAAGGGACTGGGAGCAGGGGGGTTGGAGAGGGGGTGGGGTCCCGGGGGCGGTTAGGGGACAAGGAGCGGGTGGGGGGGTTGGATGGGTCGGAGGTTCTGAGGGGGGCAGTCAGGGAGCGGAAAGTGCTAGGGGTCAGATAGGGGGCGGGGGCCAGGCTGTTTGGGGAGGCACAGCCTTTCCTACCTGGCCCTCCATACAGTTTTGCAACCCCAATGTGGCCCTCAGGCCAAAAAAGTTTGCCCACCCCTGTGGTAGACCCTCGACTACCTCCTTCCTCCATATCTTATACATTGGTGTTTTCAAATACAACACTGGGTTTCAGTTCCAATATAAGAAATTGAAGTTCATCTAATTCAAGGGAAGAAAGTTGATTTGAAAAACTATAGGGAACTGGTCTGGATCAGTAAGCCAACACAATGAACTACTGTACAAGATTCACAAACTGAATGAAAACTTCCATATTGTCTGCTTCCCAGTCAACTACAGTCGACATGAACAATTGTAGATATGACCTTACATGTCAAAGGTAATGAAACTGGTCACTTCAAATTTCTTAAGTACCAGAAAGAGAGAGAGTATTGACGATTACAATAGTGGAGAAACAGTACACTAGATGTGTACTGAGGGATAACTCAGTGGTTTGAGCATTGGCCTGTTAAACCTAGGATTGTGAGTTCAATCCTTGAGGGGGCCATTTAGGGATCTGGGACAAAAATCTATCTGGGGTTTGGTCCTGCTTTGAGCAGGGGGTTGGACTAGATGACCTCCTGAGGTCCCTTCCAACCCTGATATTCTATGATGTACAAGACCAGGATAAACATTCCATAGCTCAAATAAATATTTGGAGTCACCATCCTGCCCAAGTCTCCACTTCTTGCAATGCCAGTTGTCAGGAAGATATGAAAACAATAAATCTACACTTAACAAAAAAAACCACACCACACACACACACACAAACACACCACCCCAAAACAAAAACAAACAAAACCCAATCACCCTAGGTAGAATGAACTTAAATTTAAAACATTGATTTTATTTTTACATTTGAGGGATTTTAATTAAAAATAGAAAAACCTACACACAGTTTATGCCAGTCACAGATACAATATTTGTTCCTTATTACCTGCTGTATCCTACAGATTTGGAATTGTGGTCTCCTACAAATATAAAATAAAGTAATCCAATGTTCCTTTTCACAGTTGTCAACCAAGATGTCAGTTGTAATGAACCATCTGGAATATGGCAGGAGGAGTCCCATGTCCTTGTCACCAGTGTAGAATCCTGGACTGAAATATACTGTCTTCGATCAAGAATACCATCCCTTTTAGATGCCTAAAACAAATAAAAACAGTTCCATTGGTAACTTCCATTAATGAAAATCTGGAATATTTCTTGTAAAACTAAAAACCAACCAAAGTCAGCATTTTTCATTTCCATTCAATTTTGTCTGTCATTTTTGTTCTACTTATTTAAACTGGAAGACGCTGTACTGTTTTTCACCAATTTGTAAGGAATTCCCAAAGTATAAATTAATAAGTCGTTATAATAAACATATCAATATGTCTAGTTACACCATGACAAAAGTAACGTCCCTATGCCACAGTTATTTTCTGGAATTGGGCTGTAATAAAGAACTGTTTTAAATATAAAACTTGGGGGGGATGGGAGGAAGAGAATAGTTATTGGCAATTGAAACTCATACAACTCTTGGCAGGATTAATCCTGTAAAAGCACCATATGCAATTCATATTACAAGGCCACATCATCATCCCCCACAGACCAACCCCAGTAACTTCTACATACTTCCCAAGATACACAAACAAGTTAACGCAGGCAGACACGTTCTATTTGGCCATAACACTTTTATTGAAGGAATATCAGGATTCTCAGAAGCCATCCTATAACCACTCAACCCACAAAGGGCCTGTTTCCTCCAGGACACAACTCACTTCCTCCCACAGAATGCCATCTTTGTCTCCACGGACGTCATCTCCCTACACATCAATGTCCCTCACAAAGATGGCACCGCTGCCTGCCTCAAATATCTACAAGACAATGGACACCACCCAAATATCTACCACAAACACATCAAACTCATCCATTTCATCCTCACCCATAACTTTACATTCAACAAAAAACACTTTGTCCAAACTATTGGAACAGTGGAGGGGCGGGGCTGCGCACTCCGGTGGATCAAAGCAAGTTCGATATAATGCGGTTTCACCTATAACACAGTAAGATTTTTTGGCTCCCGAGGACAGCATTATATCGAGGTAGAGGTGTACCTTCTTATGCTTATCATATACACTTACATATATTGGACTCTTTTTACCCATTACAAGTGCAGCCAAAACTTGGGCTAGAAGGCAACAGCTCTTAAACAATACATAGCAACACATCATGGTAGTTTGGTACAAGAAATGAAAAACACTATACCGATAGAAACTGTGGACATAGAAATAAATCTCCAAGGCACTGAAATTAACATCCTCTCTCTTGCAAAAAGATCTTTATTTAATCACCAGTGGTCAGGAACTTGGTTTTACATATCATCTAAAAAGACAGCACAATGCCCCTTAATGTTACAAATGAAGCATTTCCTCAGAGGGAGGAGCACAATGAACTGAAATCAACAGCACAACAAGCTGCAGAACCACGGATTACATTGCAGGCATGACCAAATCTGATCACACTTAGTTTATGAAATTTGATGAGATATGCAGCCTGAGGTGCTATGTACAGCCAGTTCTGTCATTCAGAAGTAAAGTGGCCTTAGTTTTCCGTAGCTTAATCTTCCCTTTCATAAATGTGTCTGTCCAGGAAAATCCTCAGTCATCCTTCCCAGTGCTTGTAAGAACATACCCCCCGCCTTTTTTTTGTTTTTTTTGGAGTGGGACGGGAGAGAGGAAAGGGGCAGAGATGATCCAATGCCTATGGGTTGTTCATAGGTCCACCTCAACTACTTTGGGTGTGTTAAAACTACATCTGTTTTCTGAGTAAAGACAAAGCCTCTCACATAAAGGACTTTTGAGGATTTATCTGTTTAGGACTTGCCAAAAGAGCCATTTTAAGTTCTGTCATTCATTCCAGACAAAAAATACATTTAAAAAATGTGAGAATCTTTTATTAGGGTTCTTGAGGACTAGTAGGTACATTTCTTCTTAATGTGAAGGGAAAGGGAAAAGGACTGGCTTAGAGAGGAAATTCCTTAGACACTCCTTGTACTAATGAAAGACACAATGAGTATGAACATAGAAGCATTTCACCCAACCTATGGACAGACTTGATGGCTGCAAAAAAACAACTTTTAGGATTCAGTCCTTCATAGATAGAAACTAAAAAGGAGAGCACTGCCAGCTTAGGAGGGTAAGACTATGGCCCTGTTTTGATAGTCAAAGGGTGTATTTTTCCAATAGTAATGGATCAATCAAGTTAACACAGCCTGATTGAAAATCCTTGTCAAGATGCACACTAGCACTTTTGAAGCAAAGCTGGCTGTATTTTTAGCCTATGGAGGGATCCTAAGGCAGGCAGAATAGATAGCTACTACTCTGATAGGAAGCCAGGGACCCAGGATTTGGGATGCTTGGACCCTCTTCTGAGCAGCTTTTCTAAGGGCACGTCTTCACTGGCAATGTTAAAGCACTGCCACGGGAGCACTTTAACGTGGCTTGTGTAGTCACCACATAGCACTAGGAGAGAGCTCTCCCAGCGCTCTAAAAAAAACAAACCAACCCACCTCCACGAGGGGAATAGCTACCAGCACTGGAAGCGCGGCTCCCACTGCTGGTGCACTCTCTACACTGGCACTTTACAGCACTGAAACTTCCAGCGCTCAGGGGGGTGTTTTTTCACACCCCGGAGCAAGAAAGTTGCATTGCTGTAAAGTGCCAGTGTGGACAAGCCCTCAGAAACGGGAGGATCAGTATAAGAGTAGAAGCTACTGTCATTATCCCATGTGGAACAGCAGAGAAGAAACTAGAGCTGTAGCATGAGTAGTCCAGCAGAGGTCACCAAAACTCTTCTGCACCCTGACTAAGATAGCTGTTGCCTGCTGATTTGGAGATCAAGGACAAATCCATGCATTATGAGTCAGTGTCTAGGACACTAACATTTTTTTGTTCTCCCTCTTTTAATTTACTTCCCCATTGCTCCCAATATGTGGGTTATTCTGCAATTGTTCTGAAATTAACCCCACAAAGGATGCAGCCAGTTCTGTTTAGCTCAATATTAGCAGGCCATGTGTTCCAAGTTTCTTTGAACCATCATCCAGCTTGTGTATATAAAATACTTCAACATGATTGTTTGATCTCACCAATACTGCTTCATTTGAAAGAATATGCCAACTGCCCAATGCAGTTAGAAGTTAATACAATATCCCAGCATTATGCAGATTCATCTCCTTCCTCTTCGAAAATGTTGGCATGTAGAAAGAGCTTTGTGGACATGGACTCTACAGATGTGCGCGTATTTCAGATTTTTTGAGGCAAGAATGAGTCTAGCAATTGAGATGAGAGAGCTTTAGTCTGGGCCCTACAATAAACTATAACTTTAAGAACATGTGTAAATTAAAATTAATACAGTCAGCTTAGAGGATTTCTTAAAGAAATCCTTTAGTCATGGGCATGTAGATGCAAAGAAAAGGTATAAACCTGTAAATTTTACATTTATCAACCGGAAGGTTTTATGCAAATTTATCCATGCTGTACCCCAGTGATTTAAAAAGATTTACATCCAGGATGAATTTTGCTCTTTTTACCTCTACTACTACTACTTACACGAACATATTTTCAAAAGTTCAACATAACCCAGGATAGGTTAAATCACTATACGCTGCATTAATATTAGAAGCTATTTTTATTTGATAACTACAGTTTAATAAAATATTAATATAAATTTCAAAGAACCTCAGAGTTATGAGCACCTCGGGAATGGAAGTTGTTCATAACTCTGAACAAACGTTCAAAAGTTTACAGCTCAACATTGACTTAATACAGCTTTAAAACTTTACTATGTAGAAGAAAAATGCCGCTTTTAACCATCTCAATATCAAATTTTTAAACTTTCCCTTTATTATTTTAGTAGTTTATATTCAACACAGTACTGTATGGTATTTGCTTTTTTTTTGGTCTCTGATGCTGCTGCCTGATTCCGGTTCCAAGTGAGGTGTATGGTTGACTGGTCAGTTCATAACTCTGGTGTTTGTAACTATTGTAAAAAGAAGAACAGGAGTACTTGTGGCACCTTAGAGACTAACAAATCTAACTATTGTGTGTCTTATTGCCTAAAACATCTAGAGATAATTTTAACAAATCCAGCTGGACAGAAATGGCTTAGTTTACCATAAAGTCTTGATAGATCAGAGCCTCCAACCTCTTTTTGGAGTGATATGCAAGTTTTCCTTCTCTGTTGTTTGAGAAATTAGAGTCCCAGGATGAGGATTCTGGTTAGTTTTAGGCCCATACGTACTTATGAATGGTACTAGTAAGCAGCACTATTTTATCTACACCTCACATCAGGGAGAAAACCACCACCAGATAATTCAGTATATTTGTAAAAATCCCCACTTTCTAATGTGGGCTTTTGCACTCTAGTCTCTCCAGCACATGTATATCTTTCTACAGAATTTAAGCTCCCACTTGAACTTTAAAAGGCTGCAGGTTGGAATAGCACCATTGTTCACAGAAGAGCTGAGATTTGTTAAAAGGAAACCTTTTGTCTCAATATTTACATGTAAGAGCTATTGAGGAAGAGTACTTTTTTGTACCAAAATATGAAATTGAAGTGAAGCACCTATAAATAACTGGCAGAAATCTGTTGCCAGAGTTTGTTCACCACCACCTCAATAACTTTATCCAGAAAAGAAATGGTTGGATGTTGGGTGATAGGTGGCAGTATTGTTGACATCAAGGAATGGTTTCTTAAAAACCCATTGGACTATTGCATCTTTCAGGAGTCAGATTTTTCTCTTTGCACAAAGCACTGATGTTCTTGGCCACTGGGGCCTAGAAGATCTTCATTGGCTTTCATCACCCAAGAAGAAGAGCAGGCACCAGTTATGGCCTAGGAACCTCTCAGGGATTTCATGGCCCGTGAATGATCAGGCCAAAATCCATCAAGGAATGTGAACAATCATCGCTGTCCAATTTCCAGCCAGAAAGTCTTGAATTCATTGATCTTTCCAGTGAAGGACGACAAAAACGCATCATAATTTGATATACTTGGGTCTGGGTCTGAGTCTGGGTGAAGGCAGTAAGCATAAGCTAGTTAGGTTATTATCTGGAGCTGTTCAGCCAATCAAGAATTTGCTAATTCGACTAAGGGGCGAAGGT